GCAGAGGACTGTATTGTGCCAGTCCATACAATGCCACCTATTGTCCAATCAGTGCAACTTCACAATATCTTGCTAGTCTTGGAGTATGATGCCTTTTATGTAAAATAATTGATGGTGTTAATTAAAAACTAAGGATCCACATAAATGCAATGTTTAAAACAATTCAGTGAAATGAACATAACATAACTAACCATTTTTCAACCAAAGAGGACATCATGCACAGCTGGATATATTCTGTCTCAACTTTTGGCCACTTTTTGATTGTATTGTTTCAGAAAATAGTTTAACAGTAGTAATGTAGTTAATGTCAGTTACTCAGGTTTTGTTGTCAAAAATGATTCTTTTGCCAGTTAGACCAGCTATACATGGTACGGATAGTGTCTTTGTATTTTATATTGCTAAGTTGCAGCATGGTTGCAGGGTGATCCAATCACCAGCTCTGAGATCCTGAGTCCTTGAAATGGCTACTTTGACTTAGTATATGTTATTATTAATTTGTTTTGCACATACATATATTTATAAGTCTAAGTGCATGTCATCCACCTAAGAGCACAAATAAAAATGTTTTTGAATTGCACACAAGAGCAGAAAAATGAAGTTCACATGTTATATATACCAAATGAAAAGTAAAACATCCTGAATGTGGTTATGCTAATTTATAACCATATTCTGACTCAGTTTTATGTCTGTCTTCAGAGTATGTTGGTGGCTAATATGAACGAATTATTGAAGAGAAGAGGTGAAGCAGAGCACACCATCAAGGACTTGGAGTCACTTTACACACAAACTGTGGTACAGTCATTATGAGCCTATAATACAATCCTGTTTTCTCTTGCGGGCAGCCTTGCGTTTATGACATTTTAATTATCTTCCAGAACTCTGCTGCAGATTTTAGAGAGAAAATCTCAGACAAGTACAGCAGAATCCGTGTGGTTTTAGACGCAGACGAGCGTCTGATGATGCAGATTATAGATGCAGAGGAGGCGTACATGACAGACTGGCTGGAGGCCCAGAGGGGCATCACGGAAACTCAGATTAAAGAGATAGACAGATTAAGAGCCTCCAATAAAGCTCTCCTCCAGGAAACAAATGACCTGCAGTTCCTCCAGGTGAGTAAATAAATCATTGAAGTATTTTACAATGATCATTAAACCACAATGGATTAAGCCTGCTATGAATCAGACACCACTGGACCTGCAGTCACAGTAATCTAAAAAAGAGCCCATAAACAGAAACTGTTGATTTTAAGCATATGGGCTAGAGATTAGTCATAAATTCACTTTTGTTTTTCTTATGTGTGAATTTTCAGTTCTGTATGTACTTGCTTTTTTTTCCATCTTCAAAGTAACATTTCTTAATGTCGTTTTGAAATTGAACTAAAACTGATGACATGTTAATTTTTAACAGCAAATCAGATCACAAAATCTTTGGTGAGTATATTTTTACACATTATGGTGTGGTATATTTAACCTTTCTTTTGTGTTGTTACTCGTTCGCTTGGCACATTTATTTTCTGTTTTCTTTACAGTGATCCATTGGATTTTCCTCCACTGCAGGCCGTAAACAGGGATCTTTGCGACCATGAAAAGCTGAGAACCATTGAGAGGCTCGTTGATGATCTCTCACTAGCTCTGTCGCAGCACTTTCCACGAATGTGGTCATGTTAGTGATTAATTTAGGATTTCACAAGCAAATAATCATCATTTGCATAAATGTGGTGTTGACTGTCATTTTATTCTATGATTATTATTGCAGATCTAAGTTCACCGGCTTTAGATCCAAAAACAGCACATCCGAAACTAGAAATATCTCCAGATAAAAAACAAGTTTACTGGAGACGCCATCCTGCTGGAGACAGACCGAACCCTCAGCCTTATGACTCCCAGTTCAGTGTTCTCGCTCAGGAGAGCTTTACAAATGGCCAGCATTACTGGGAGGTGATTGTCCAGGACAAACCCTTCTGGCTGATTGGTGTTACCACAGGTTTGGTCACTAAGAAAACCAGTCCGGCTCAAAGTTCCTCCAGCCTTGGTGTGAACAGCACATCCTGGTGCATCTATCATGGAGATGGACAGTACCTGGCTTGCCACGACACACAAGAGAAGCAGCTGCCGGTAGCAAAGAGAGTCAGAAAGCTGGGCATACTGGCTAACATCCAGAAGGGGGAGCTGTCTTTCTACGATGCAGATGCAATGACTCTGCTTCACACTTTCTGTGTGCAGTGCACAGAGCCGCTTTACCCCATGTTCAACCCATGCATCGATATGAATGGAGTCAATAAGCAACCGCTCACTTTGTTCTGGATTAAGGATCCCTGGAATTGGGAAGAGGATGAAAAATGAATGATTTATTTCATTTGAATAATGCGGAAAAAATGTCAAGTCAAATAATTACTTGTATTTGCATGGATTAAACAAGGATCACTCAATCTATTTATTTAAGTATTAGAAGGTAGATATTTTCCTTCACTGTTTATATATTATGAATCTATTCGAACTATGCTTTAATTATATAGTTGTGTAACATTTAATAAAGTAAACACACCTGGAGAACTTACTGTGAAATATTTTCTTTAGATGTTCAACATCAAAAGTTGTACTTTCTTTGCCTTGATAATGTATTCACATTGTACTGGATGTACTGGACTTCATCTACATTTTGTCATATTACAACCAAAAGAAACGCTTGTGTAATTTATTCAGATTTTATGTGATGGGCTGATATTGTGAAATGGAAGGGGAATTTTGTTGTGTCACCTTTCAAAACAGCTACAGATTCAAATACAGTATGTCACATCTAAAAATGTAAATCTTTGCCTGGTCTTCTTTGCAAACTAGTTCAAACTCAGTCAGCGGGACTGGAAAGCATTGAGGAACACCAAGTATCAAATCTTTTATATATATTATTTGATAATAAATCAACAGAAAAGAAGGTTGTGACAGAGAGGGAAGACATACACAAAAGTCATTGCTGAACTCAAACTGTTGAGGACTGAGGTCTCCAAACATGGATCACGCACTACCCTCAAATGTCAAATCTTGAAAGTCTCAATTATATTTAGGTCTGAACTTCAACAAGGCCATGGTAAGCACGTGAATGCTCTGTGATTTAACCCTTGTACTGTAGTTCTGGTGGAAATTTAGATTTGCTGTCCTGCAGTATGGTGAACGTACGAGTCAGTCTGAAGTCTATTGCAGCTGCTAACAGATTTTCATTCAGACCCAATACTTAGGGTCCATCCATCTTCTCTTCAACTTACTATATTATAGGTAGGAACAGTCTTGCATCTCTTCTGCTGTTGAAGGTCTCCACCTCTTATGTGCTTATCATTTTGTTGTGCATTGCAGAAAGTACATGACTCGTGTGTAAATGTCTGGCCTGCTCATTTTGTAATCGCCCCCTCAGTTCATCAGCCCACAGTGGACAACAGCCTTCAGTATCAGATGTCCATGGCTTATTTTGCCTCTACAGTAAACAGTGCAGCAAGAGAGGTCAAATGACATCAACTGTGAACTTTGCCCCTGAGTTTCCAAAAACACTGATGTTACCAATTATTTGTATTTGTATAACATCTTGTTTTCTCTTAAGCAAATTTGATTAACAAGTCAGATTACAAAGGTGGTCGGCAAGTTTATAGGTTAGAAAAAGTATTTCAGCCCAGTTCAGAGCTGAATGCATTTAGGTCCAGCAGCACAAATCAGCATAAATTTTTTTAAAGATGTGTAAAAGCCTTAAAATAAACCCATCTTTCTTTCAGTGCAAAATTTCTTTCTCTGTTCTCGAGCAGAGATTTTTTTTTCCTTTTCTCAGCCAGTGTGCATTGTGAAAAAGCAAACATGTACTCATCCTGCCTTGTTCATTTCATTACAGTTGTGCAAAACCTGTCAGTTATTGCCCTCACAGTAAATACACTGAAAAAGAGAACAAGTGACCCAACTTCAATAAATTGCTTCAATTAGTGACAAGATGTTGAAAATGGTTTTTTCAATTTAAATCATTAAGTTGTCGAGTTAAATTCACATAAATGTATTAAGTTGGATAAACTGGTTTTAATTCATTAAAATTTAAGCTGCATTCTATTTTTTACTGTATGAGCATTATGAAAACAGCTATTATTTGTAGCCATTTTGTGAGTAAAAACTGATAGAAATCTTGAATAGCATGTTCTCTTGTCTTTTCCATTTTGAAGAGTGGCCTCTGCTTTACAGCCTACTTTACCTTAGGAAATTAGAAAGTCAATTAATTAATAATTAATTATTCTTATCTGTTAATGTAAGTGTTACATTTTTAAAAATCCATTAGTTTCTTTGATTTTATAGCAATCAATACGAGTGCCAAAATCCAAAAGGAGCAATTTCTTTGTTCAAGAATTTATTTTATTGCCTTGTTTCAAGATTTTATCAAATTTATGCAGAAATTAAAATCTAGAAATTGTATTTATTTATTCTTATGCTTTTTACTAATCTTTCAGGGTGCACAGTGGGTTGCTGTGATATAAATTCATAAAGATTCACAATAATGTAGACCTTAACGTTTACAGCAACACACACCACTCTTACTGGAAATATGTTATCTTGTCTCTCCCATTTCAAGCTCACCGCATTTACATCCCTAGGAAACAAGAAGTCGAACTAAACAAGAGTTCTTAGCTATTCTGATCTACTTAAACAGGTTAAATCATATTTACACTGGAGAATAAACGTGCTAAGAGATCTCCCACTCCTAAAAAATTCTCCAAGGACTGGATATAAAAAGGATAGGAAATATTATTCATGCTCTTTGACAACCTTTGTAGTTTGTAATACAACATACATCTAAAGGAATGCAAATAATTTCTCCATTTGTGCACCAAGGTAGCAAACTTGTGCTTTTATTTGATGTATTTAAACAATAGAAACAGGTATTTTTTTTATTATTTCACTTGTCAATCACAGATTGATTGGTGCATTGGTTAATTTTACTTTAAATCTGCTAAAATGACAACACATGAAAGAAAGGAACACAGTGGAGTACAATTTTATTGAGGTTTTTTTTTTTCAAAGTATTTTTCACATTCGCCTGTGAGAAAATGACAAAATATGCTGAGAAAATTTCAGGAACTTTTTGGGAGGCATCATAAGAATTCAATCAGGTGCAGGGCAGTTATGAAATAACACCAAAATAACTTCAATCACATCTTAATTCTTGGCGAAACACGCTGGTTTGTTTATAACTAATATCCTTGGGTTACTTAAGCAGGTACTTGAGTCTTTGACTTGATCCAGTTGAGGAAGTTAGTGACTCTTGAGTAGACTCCTGGTTTGTTTTCCTTTCCACACTGATCTCCCCAGCTCACCACACCATAAACAACACTGGTGCCATTCTGCTTGCAAGTCAGTGGTCCTCCAGAATCCCCCTGAAACAACAGACGAATTGAAGATTAGAGTAGAATAGAGGAAAAAAAGTAGCAGGTGTATGCAAAGTACAAAGATATACCTAAACATTCAAACAGAATTTAAAGCTACTGTAAAGCATAAATCTGACTAACCTGGCAGGAATCAACTCCTCCTTGCAGGTAGCCCGCGCAGAACATGCCATTATTTAGAGCGTTCCCGTAAATAGTGGGTTCAGAGCACTTTGTCTGGCTGATCAGCAGAACATTAGCCTCCAACAGGTGATTCGAGCCATAATTCGCTGCAGATATGATTTTGAACAATTAGGACAAAACAGTACGGTGTAGTAAACAGAGTGAACCAAATTACGAGGAAATGTCACACACATACAGTCCTCTGTGGCCCCCCATCCAGAAATGGTGCATTCAGTCCCATCAGAGATTTGGCCACTGGGCAGACAAGCTGTCTTCACAAACTGGGTCTCATTTGCGCAAACTCCATTTGTCCCCCTGAGCCTTAACAAAGCTTAGAAAATACGAATCAGATTAATGACACACAGAAATCGGACTATTTTCACAAGGTGATTGTTACAAAAATGTAAGACCAGAAAAGTCACAAATCAGTTTAGAAAATGAATATGAACCTCACTGATTAGCAAAAATCACTGTCAGGGTTTGTTTTGATTCATTCAAAGGACCAATATCATTTTAGAGGTATAAAACCTAAGAGTTTGAGTGTGACAAGTGGTATTCTTGTTTTAAGTACATAAAAACTTACTCTCTGATCTAAATTAGGCAAATTTTGTCACAGATACAGAAAGAAACAAATTTAAACGTAATTCTGCTTGAGAGAGTTACAATGTTGGTCAAACCTGCACCTATCTGGCCATTTATTTTTTACACCCAGATCTAAAACTTGCAACAATGTATTTTTGTTCCCACCATAGGGTGCCTAAGAGTACACTGGTAGTACACTGCAGCTGTTTACCTATGTCGTTGTAAACAGCTGTAGAAGTCTCCCTGTAGTTCTCATGGACAATCGCATTCTCAACTCCAATGACTTGAGCTGAAGGATCATTTGTGCTCAGTGACAGGCTACCCATCACCACCTGCATGTCCTTGTTTTTTTCACTGTGAAAATCAAAACACCCAATAAACAAAAAAGCTGAATGAAAGTCATAATCTAAATTCTTCAGATTTGGAGGGTTGTTTTCTTACATGCAGTGTCCAGCTGTCAGAACCCAGCAACTCTCGATCAGAACTCCTCCACAGATGTGACTGTATGCCATGTTGGAGTTCTTTGGTTTCTGTTGCACAGAAACCTGCCAGGGCACCGCTCCAGGACTGACTTTCAGACCCCCAAAGATTCGAGTTAAAACCTTTTTTGGTTGAGCCACTCCGCAAGTTTCAAACTGTTTTGGTGCAGGAGATGAAGTTGGCACAACAGGTGAAGATGGATCTTGGGATGGCTGTGGAGCACTGGTGGTCTTTGCTGTTTCAGTGGGAAATAGTATGATAGGAGATGTGGGGTCAACAGCAGGGGTTGGAGGGCCACCAGTAGTAGGTTTGGGTCCACCTGAAAATACAAACAGTTTGTCATTTTTTTGACCTCAACATCAGTCAGAAACTACTAGGAGCTTTGTTCTGGACCTGTTGGTTCAGGACATTTATTCACATCACAGTAATCCCACAACAATCTTCGTCCTCGTCTGTAAAAACACCAGGGCTTTGGTTCTCCATCTGGGTTTCTACAACATTAAAATAAAGCTAAGTATAAATCCATAATACTGACTGTAGTTGTAATGCAGTTCAGTCATGTTTTTGTTCTGACCTGCAGAAGTTATGAGGGCCAAGGCCGTCGTCATCCTCAAACGAGTTGAAGGGATCAGCTCCGTTTTCCAGGATAAAGTGGGAGTTCCAGTAGAGGCAGTCAAACCCGTCATCTGTCTCACTCACATTTCCACGGTAAGACTCACCATCACCCACATAGCAGTCGTTTGGACCTAAAAACACATTAAGTTTCTTAATAATAGTCCATTTACCAATTATGTGACTTCTGAAGGAAATTGGCTACATTAGATTTTATTCAGGGACACCAGAGTGAGAGTTGAAAACAAATTTTGATTTTTTTCTAAGAAGACAATTTGAAACAGCAGTGATAATGCAATAAAATGTGTCAAAGTCAAATAAATATAAAATACTGCTGGATTCTGTGCACACACATTGATCTTGGAAAACAAAGACACTGATATGAGAATGCAGTATTTACCAACATGACAGAAACGTCCACGGAACCCTTCGGGACACTGACAGTCAAAGTCATTCCCCTCCTGGACGCACTGGCCACCATTTCTGCACGGGTTTGGCTGACACACAGAATCTTTGCACAAAAGGAGGATCAAATACACACAATAAATGTCTTAAAAATGTAACTAGCTGAAGACGTAGTTTTGCTGTTTGATCCTTACATCGTTTGCAGTCTGGAGGCTGGAATGGGTATTTGCATTTGCACTCGTAGAAAGGAGCGGTTGAAGTCAGCACACACTCGCCCCAACCACAAACACCTTTTCTGCACACTTTAGGGCCTGACAACCATAAGCACAAACAGTAGCTGCTGATTTTACAGTCTTAGACACTGCAGGAATTTCGACAGAAAGAAGATGACAGCTTCATCCAACCTTTCTCGCATTTCCTTCCCTTGAAAGGCTCGGGACAGTCACATTTGTACCCTCTCCTGCCTTTTTTCTTACACACACCGTTGTTAAGACAGGGATTGGGTGTGCATTCACCTAGCAAATTAAATTGAACTAGGTTTTAATTAGGAAAAGAAAGACAACTTTTTAAAGGGTAGGTCTAGTCATTATACCATGTAGATCCTGAAGGTCACGAAGCCAGTCCAAAAAAGGCTGATCTTCGTCGTCGTCATCAGATGACTCCTTGAAGATGATATCTAAAATAATATTTTCATTTCAGATTTGGAATACATCGTTTCTTTTGTACAATTGTTTTTTCTTTATCATAGAATCAGAATTTTCTGACAAAATGGAGCTCCAACCTTCAATTATATCTTCAAATTTTTGCTTCTTTTTCTCCCGTCCATGTCCTCTTGATCTATGTTTGTCTTTGTGTTTGTCTTTGGGTTTCGACTGATTTATGAAAAATAACAGTTACAAATTATTTAAAGCATTTAATAAATAATTCCACCAAACACAATAATGGTTTTAATAACTATAAACTTCATAGGTTAGAACTAATTGAACAATAACAAAAGAAAATAAGATTGTAATTAAGAGTGGTGCATTTACTGCATTGTTTTAAGATAATACATGTTGCAATTACTTACTTCAGTAGTGATTAGGAGCACAGCCAAGAGGAGGAAAATGAGAAGCAGCTTCAGTTTCATGATGGCAGAGCACCAGACAACGTCTAGGAGGTCCAAATGAGACTGTGCAGCGCTGCAGAGAACCCGCACTTTTTCCTACATTTTTACTCAAGGACACTAACCTTTGAAACTTTTGTTTAATCTGGCACTCAACCATGATGCTGAGTCAGTTTTATTGATTTAAACTTTAGAATAAGAGACCCCACAATGGCATAAATAGGTTTTAACAACTTCTATGAATATTGCATGTTTTTTTAGTGTCATTTGTGACATGTTTGCAGACTTTTCACATTAAAAGCATCAAATTGCAAGAGTGAGCCCTGCACTTGCAACACAAATGCTCAGAAAACATGTTTGGTAAAACCTCGCTGTTTGTTTGCGTGTAGACTTTGAATCACATAAGCTGGGCACAACAACAAGTGGAGTAATTATACAGTGAAGCCATTTCAGGACATGCATATGTCTGCAGGGTGTCTGAACAAATCAGAATATTATTTAAACATGAATTTGCTTTAATAAATAAGTGAAAAGACTCATCTAAAGAAATTCAATGACAGATGAGAAACAAAGTAATTGACTTCTGTCTGTCTGGAAAAGATTACAAAGTCATTTCTAAGACTTTGGGACTCCAACCAAAGTGAAAGATGTTATCTTGACCTAAAACAAGCCCATCTCAAAGTCATAAAAAATTTAAAGGCAAAACCTTTTGGACAGTGTGAGTCATATTGGAGCTGGTGTAAAAATTTCACAGTATTTCAGACTTAGACAATTGAACACATTGACCTCAATGAATTGCTGCAATCCATATAAACCTTAGGTTGCACAACAGGATAACGATCCGAAACACAGCAGCGGGTTCACCTCAGACAGGCTAAAAACAAAAGACGGATTTGAAGCGACTCAGCCGAAATCTGGACTTAAATCCAATTTAATGCTGGAGCATGACCTCTAAATTAGAGGCTTGTGATCAAGAATCTGTCCAGGTTTTAACAAGGACAAATGTTTTTTTTACATATATACTTTTGCAGCTGTCAAATAAATTCATTTTAAAAAATATGTGAAACTCAAGGTCTGAAGGCCAAATAATGTAGCCCATCTTTAAAAATAGCACATGCTTAAATATTATTTTAACAATGAAATAAGGCAGTTTTTGTTCATATGCTGCCAAATTACTTCAATTTAAAGAGATGCTCAATAATGATCAATAAAAATGAATATTGGTAATTGACGGAGATGTTTATGTTTGTTCTATAAGCACAAGATTCAAGTCTCCTTTAGTGAAATTCCTAATTGTGAGCCAAATGAAACATAATTTTATTTTTTGTTCATTTTTTGAATGAATGTGATAAAAATCAAAGTCAAAAAGTCAAATCAAAAACAAGAAATTTTTTATGTATTTAATTTTTGTTTTACAAGGTAGCAATGAAACTAAATGCATAACATATTATAAGTTAAGATTGAACAGCTTGAAAGACATGATTTGTGTTGTTGTGAAAGGTGTGCCTCAATATAAATGCGTCTTGTGTCAGCCCTGCATGTTTGTAAGTCATGTTCTTAGTATGCGTTCTTATGCAGCTACAGGTCACTTGTAGGAGACGATGCATTACAGATTACAATAGGACTTGAATTGGTGCCACTGTGGTTGTGACCAGGACACAGGGCCAGGTGGAGACACTCAGAGAAGGTTCCAGCACAGAATGAGAACAGTGGCGCCATTTTGTCCGCCTCTAGAAACGTCACCAGGCCAGCAGGAAAGCTGCACATGACACCAATTCGACAGAAACGTTTCATGAAAGGCAGCTGGTGAGGTACCCCTCCATGCCAGGCCGTGTATTCTCCATCGAAGAACTCCACACACCAGGACACGGCGCCCCGACCCAGCCAGCACTCCTCAGATACGCCTTTGCGAGGAATGGATGGATAGGTAACACCAAGCTCCCAGTAAGTCTTCCCAGTCACATCAATTTCCCAGTAATGGCGGCCAAAGCTGAAGCCCTGCAGACTGATGACGTTGAGGGTGGTATCAAACCGTCCTGGTTGGTCAGGGAGTTTCTGCCAGGTGTCTGTGTAGGAGACACTGTCACATTTAGGGGAGATGACCAACTTTGGGTGGGCCGTCTCTGGGTCCAGATGCACCTCACTGGAATCTGGACATAAATGGAGAAAATTCAGCATAAAATGTCTCCTAAAGAGACAGCGCTGTAATGAAGAAAGGTGATGTGGGAACTGACAGCTTTTCAGGAGCTTCTTCATTAACGGGGTCTGCGAGGAGACAAGGAGCAGCATGCTGTTGGTGAGGCTGAGGATCTGGTTAGCTTTAGCTTCATCAAGGCTCACACTGCTGGGATCTGATTGGTTGAGGACATCCAACACTCTGACGAATGAGAACCAGTAAGGTAGTATTACATATTACAATGCCTTAAAAATTCGTTCTAAATTTTTTTAACAGATATTTTCTTATGCCACAAGTATGAACTCCAGCTTAATTTATTGGGATTTTATTATAGCTCAACACAAGGTAATTAATGATTTAAGCAAAAAATCAGCAGAACATGTCCGTTTTTTTTTATATCTGATTAATTGTCACAATAATCATTAGAAAAGTTGATTACACAACACATAATTGGAAAAAAGGGTAATTACATAGAGAAGAAAGCTAGAGACCCAGGATAACTGCAATGTGATCAACAAATCTTTTACCAAAGAGTAGCATTAAGAAAGCCATGAGGTCTGACCAGAAGAGGCTGAAGTTAAACTTTTTGTCCTACTTGCAAATTTGCATGTGTGGTGAAAAACTTGCAATTTGCATAAACCTGAACAGACAATCCCTTCTGAAAAACATGGTGGTGGTAGCATCATGCTGCAGTTTTACTTCCTTATTGTCAGATTTCTCTTCCTCTAATCTGACTGAGAATGATCTAATTTGGGAAAGCAATCTCTAGATGTGCAACAACTCCAACTATAAGTATTACATATGGTTCCATAAAGTATTAGACTCTGAGGGCTGAGAAAAATGTACACCACACTTTTAAGATTTTTCTAACCATACGTTATCTTCCTTGCACTTCTCAGTCATGCACTACTTTGTGTTGGTCGTCACATAAAACCCTCTTATAATTCTCTGAAGAGGAAAACTGTGAAGAATCACAAAATAGGAGTTGTAATTATTCATACCTATCTGCTGTCTCTGTGTCTTCCAGTTCTGCATGTAAAACAAACGACTGAGGAATAGTGGAAAATCTAGGTCAGCTGTAGGTTTTTGCTCTTTACATTTAAACTCTCATGTTTTTTTTCTGTTTTTTTGTTGTTGTTTTTTACCATAGAATCAGGTTCTGTGTCACTGTGCTCCAAAACTAAAGAAAGTCTGGCCAGGTCCTGCTCTATTTCCTGGATCAGAGCACAGTTTTTCTCCATCAGTCCGTCCAAGGCAGAGACGGCAGCCTTCTCCTCCATCTCCAGGTGGGACAAGGTGAGCCGCAGGTCCTCCTCCAGAACCATCTGGATCTCCTGATATTTCATCGCTACATTCTCTCTTATCGATGCAGACTTTTTCTAGGTACAGTAGACATAGAAATCAAATTCTGATGCTGGATCATTTGTAGAGAAATTGCTAAAATCTCTACACAGAGAGAGCCTTTTTCAGAAATCAGAGACACTCACTGTGATTTCTGACTGACGGGCTGACAGTTTCTTCAGTCTGTGTTTCACAGCATCCCTTTGCTTCTTCAAAGATACCAGATGCTTTTCTAATGTTTCCTGTGGGAAGTGGTTGCACACTATTTAGCAAGCTTACTTCTGATAATTTGCTCACTGTGAAACGTAAACTGCAACAAAGTAGTGACTGAGTGTGAACATTGTTTAAAGAGGAAGTACTTTCTTGCATCACATCTTAGCACTGTAGCTGTTCTGTAAATTGTCTTTATGAGATATGTTTGGAATAACATGGACCAGGAAGTATACAAAAGGACTTTAATCCAAGCCAAGTTAAGCATTTGGTGAGGTTATGATGTTAAGAGTTTTAACAAAAGAGACGTTTTTGCTGTTCACACGAATATACAAAGGCGAACATGAGTCACCTGGAGCATGATTTTAAAAATAGGGTCTCCTAAGTCATTGTTTCAATATGGAGATGTGGCAGAAAACATTTCCATGTCTAAAAATGTCTCCATGTGGACAGAGACTAAAGTTTTGGCAGCAATCAAAACCTAAGGTCTTCGAATGTCTACAAGCCTTACAGAGTTTTGGGAAATTTTCTTCCATTTATTCTGGATACAAGCTGTCATAGTTTTTCTTGAGAAATGTTTCTGTATTTGTCCTCTGTCACTTTAATGACAAGTCGCAAGGGGTAGAGGTCATCATGTTGCCACCACCAGACAAAAAGCTTGGAATATAGGCCAAAAAAGACCTACTATGTCTTTATCAGACAAGAGACTTTTGTATATCTGCTCTAATAATCTATTAGATGTTTCAGCAAAATTAAAGCAACAAGTGGATTTATCTCTAAATCGTGCTCAGACATAGAAATCTGACTCAAACTTAGCTCAACTTACCTCAGGTGAACTCTGCCAGGATCTGAAGGATCAGTGGAAATAAGATGAACCTGAGGTCAATTTTTTTTTTTTTTACAAATTTATAAAACTATCTGAAATATGTTTGTCTTTGCCATCATGCATTGTTTTGTGTGTTGAGTTTCAAAAATGAAAACAATATTCGAGAAAAGTTATGGGGTGTAAATACTTTCAGATGGCACTTTAGGTATATTCTGTAAAAACCAGAACTCTATTGATTTACACCCATATATTGATTTTTATCAATTTTTTTTATTATCTTACTCTATTGCACATTTTTGTGAATCTAAATATGCTATTTCTTTAACAGTACAGTACATTTTAAATGTTGTAAATGTGCCTTTACTGTACAGTCTCATTTCTTTTTGTTATGCATTTTCACCTGTGTGTGAGTCTACATGCTTCCATTTGCCTGTCATTTGGCTGCTGATATTCTCTTCTTTTTTGTCCATGAGTGTATTTCTGTTCTTGTGACAGTCCACCATAGCTTAAACATGTCAATGCCTGAAAAGATGTCACATGATTGCTGTACCATTTCTGCACAGATTGACATACACACACCAATTCTACTGTAAGCAGTGGTGAAAATTTCTTTATTCTACAAAGATGGAGTTGAACACTGCAGAAGAAAGTTGTTGAGAATAGACCAAGATGTGAAATTCTACTCTCAATTTGAGAATAAATAAATCACAATCTAGAATTGTCATGGACACCTTAGTGGTTATTGTGCAGGCTTCAAGTTTTAATTTTAATTCAGTTTTTTCTCTCTTTTTAAAGCCTTACTGCCACTGCAGAGATCCCAAGTGTTCATTTCTAGTTTTTTTTCTAGTTATTTCAATTCAATTTGGGTCCTCAGCTGAACTGAAAGGTCACAAATTGCAAATAACCTGGAAAATAGCTAAAGTCCAGGTAGGGATGAGATGTTCACAGCAAAACACACAATTATCCAACAGGTCACGAAAAACAAGATCAAACAGGACTGAAATGGAGAACTGCAGAACAGAAAATCTGGGCAGGAATTGTAGAAAACTAAACGATTAAATACAAAGGAGATTATATGGTATAGGTGTGGAATTTCAGATTTTGTTTTTACAGGAAAATATTACTAAGAGGTGTGGAAATGCAAAGTCAAAGGATGAAACCCCTGACTGATTAAGAAAGAAGAGTTTGAGGTCATAGTTTTCTGAGATAAAGTAAGGAAAAACCATAAAAGAGTGCAGTTGTGGATGTTTCCCTTCACCACAATGCAGTAAATCTTAGATTGGAGCCTTCTGTAGTGTAATGTTTTCAGCACTCATTGCAAATATGTTTTGGTACAACTATGGACTTGTAAAATTAGTATGTATTGCATGAATGGTGGGACTTCAACAGGTCAGCTGAAATCTGCTGAAGAAGCAGAAGTCAGAGCAGACTGACAATCTGAACTTGCTGATTCATCAAGTTCAGATCTGAAGAATCAGCATTACTTTCTGAAAGGAATGCAATACTCTGAGTAGTAAAACATATCTGTCTTGCTTTTCAATGGTTTGGAATGATACACTGCTTTTGGTAAAAAATCAGAAGTAATTTGGTGGAGGACTTTGAATACATCCCCACATCTTTTTTAAAGGCAGTTTAGGTTCCCTGCTGTTTTTACCATCCAAAAACATTATTACATTTTCCAGTAGTAGTGCCAAGCCGAAACCAGCTGCTTCATCTGGAGCCAGTTGCCCTACAGTTTTTTTTGTTTGTTTATTTTTTGTTTTACATATTTTAAACTTCATGTTGTTTTGTAGGGTAAATAGCATTACACTCATTGGCATCCAAGTGTATTACTACTTAATTTTATAAAAATCTATGCATCTATGCTCTGTCTGCACTAACAAAGATTCACTCACTTCAACATGTCAAATGCTTGAAACTGAAATAAAAATAAAAAAAAAACTAATGGCATGAGCTACTTTCCAATTATCCAATTAATTTAAGAATTATCTTCCTGCTTGAGTGCTCTTAAAGATTATGGAAATGTCATGAAAATATGGTCACTTGAACATTACATTTAAAAATCCCCAAAAAGGTGACACCATGGTAAAAATGACATCGTAATTAATCCGAATTCAATACGGTGTTGAATTCACAACACTGAGAGTGTGTTGAGCTCAACACACTCCCGGTATTCAAACCGGGAGTGAATTCAAAGCAACACAACAAACTCAAGACCTGACAGGAGTCGCTATTCCACATCTTGTGCTTCATTTACATTTAATCAAGTTTTCCAGCTGACAGCTTAAAGATTAGCATTCTTTTGTATGGGGACTTTTCTTACATAAATATTTTAAGTATTTGTTATTTAGAATTTAAAAAATCTAAATAAGTAAAGTCATAGCCTGTCCTGATTCAACTGACTATTTTTCAGTTGAGAAAACTTTCTGGAAAATTGCAACAGGCAACAGTAGTATGAGCATTTTACAGTATTATTAGAGTGAAATTAAATGAAGACTTCTGATAAAGATTTTAGGTTTGTATTTCAGTCCTAAGATAATTTCCCACATGAAGTGGGAACAAAATATTATAAAAGAGGCTCAGGGTAACTTTGGGATGGCAGAGGATCAGTGTTCATGGTTCATGGCAATTTAAAGCTTTATTGGCTTAGATTTCAATACAACAAATGGCAGTGTGTTTTCTCCATTTATAAAACAATACTTTCACATACAGTTGATTCTTGAAATACGGGGTCGTATCTGGATGTAACTATAAGTTGGAAACAGCCTTAAAATATAAGATTCTTACTTAAATTTATATAGGTAAGGTGTATAACTTTGTTTATGAGAGCCTGAGAAAAGAGACATTTTTGTCCATTCAGATGAACAATTTGTGTGCATGAAAGCCAGGGGGAAGAAGACTGGTGATATGCCAGCTATTGGAGGATTCATTTCCACGTAGATCCAGTCAAACAGTTTGTGGGTGTGCTCACCGTGTTCCCACAGGCTTTTCTCATCATATTGTATCTTAAAAGACTCACTGAGCCGATTCTTGAAACCTTTGGGCTAAAACTGCTTCAGCCCAAGCAAAACAAAAAGTTGACACACTTTTGAGCTACAGGCATGGGCATTTTTGTGATGGTCTACTGTAATTACAAAGTTCCACGGGAATCAACAGCAACAAATAGGGAGAAACAAGCAGTAAAGTAAAGGAAGGATTTTCACTTAAAGCAAAGCAGGAGGTAAAATAAGTGCAGTCAAAGCAAATAAAACTTGACCCTTCTCATCATTCTTTGTCATTTTTGAACATGGAAGAATTTTCCATTCATTATTGAAGTCCATCATCGCAACATCAGTCCATTTCTTGGAATCCCCAGGTATATCCAGGTGATATAAGCAAAAACAAAAGAAAAGAAAGGGAAAGGAAATAACCCAGAACCTACATCTAGATTACAACTGTGTGCTATCTGATTGTATGTACAGAATAATGCATGCTATAAATTAGAAAAAATAAAAAAACTAAAAGAGCTTGGCCTTCTTTTTCATGTCGTTGCGTTTCCACAGGGGAAGCCTGTCAAACTCCTGGATCTCCATTCCAAAGATCTCAAAGAACGTTTCGGGTGCTAAGTGGCGCTAGAAATGAGAACAAAGGTGGAGAAAAAACAAAGGAGGGGGTAGGAGGAGGGGTTCTCAGTTAGCATCAAAGCTGTAAAAGAAGGGTTTTGCTGCAAAAATGACAAGGAGCAACTGATACTGCATGTTCTCAGCTACAGATGTAAGTTTGTGTAACAATGCTGTTGACACAAAATCAAAATGCAGTGTTAACTGAGGAGCGTCAGGAGGAAAACTGATACCTCCAGTCTGGTTCTGTCCACATCCCTTGGCAGTTTAGCTCTCCCTCTACTGGTTATCATGAGCATTTCATAGGGATACACCTTCAGAAGGAGACATGCATCATTAAACAGATAAAACCTTTAGCTAAGCCCCAAAAACGAACAGATATCACCAAACAAAATCACTAAATTTGAAGTTTTTGGATAATTCTGACTGTGAGAAAGGGTGGGAGAGAAGGTATGTGACAGGAGGCTGACTGGGTTTGTTTTGTTAAGGATATTCAGGAAATGCAGGTGCTTTGATGTGCACAATCTTTTAGTGCTTACACGTGCAAACTATTAGATAAAGAGAGGAAGAAATGACTTCAAACTCATGTAACTGGTTACAGTATGAGACGCATTTAATATTTAATAAAAACTAAAGAAAAAAAACAGCTTTAATGTTTTTTTTATCATCCACATGGGAATGATTGTCCTGGATTCCAGGTGCTGGAATTTTTCCAACTAATTGAGGAACAAACTAGCTAATCCTAATCCCAGCTGAGATCCTCAATAAGAAACTGAAAGCTCTTTGAAGCCCCTGACCAACTCATATCCACACAGTAATGCCTTTACACACTACATACACAGTATATAGTGATATGAGTTGTTTGGATGACTGACTGGATTTTTACACTGTATGTTGCATACAGTATCCAGTCACTTTGAGTCACAGCCATGTGCAGATGAGCATGAAGAAGCCAGCATGCTATAAGCGCTTGAGTGACTCGGCAGCTCCTTAAGCGGCATGCTGAATCAAGAACCCAGCTAAAGTGAGTCTTTTGTTGTTTTGCTAAAAGAATCTATGGGGTTGTTTTAGTTTTTTTTTTTCTTTTTTTTTGCAAAATAACTACATTGCTCTATCTGATCATGTTTTAGCCTATTTGTTAGCCTATAACTTAAATACAGTTTCTTCAAAAAGTGGCCCTGGCTTTTGGACGTTTTCACATTTTGAGTCATTGCAACCACAAGATTCACTGTGTTTTTAGTGGGATAGAAAAATGTTACGCCACATGATACATGTTTTTATTTATTTTTTTATTTTTACTTTAAAATCTGAAAAGTTGTGATAATTTTTATACTATCGATCTGAATCTATATGTTGTGTAACTACTTACAGCTAAGGAAATGTTTAGGTAAAAGTATACTGATGTGCAAGGATGGCCCAGTTAAAGCCAACCATATATATATATATATATATATATATATATATAATATATATATATATATATATATATATATATATATATATATATATATATATATATATATATATATATATATATACATATACATATATATATATATATATATACATATACATATATATATATATATACTTAACGATACATACTTTTTTTTTCCTTCTAAATTTTAGATGGTTTGACTTGTGTCTTTAACCTCTACATTTCTGTTTCATTCTATGAATTTACAATCTTCAATTGTAGCTTTAATAACCATATATACAAAATAAAAAGCAAGAAAATAAATATTTTGTACATTGTTTTAAAATGTACATTGCTTTTATATTGTTTTTGATGCAGGTTATTTAAAGCAATTAAATTACACACACCTGCGTTTTATTTGATAGTTAAGTGACATTGCATTGAATTTTACTTTTAGGTTATCACAGTAAAGTGAGTGGGATGAAAATGCATGCTGTACTATTTTATATGAAAAACCTGAAAGCAACGTATAATTTTCCTTCCACTTCACAATTGTGCCCGACTTTGTGTTGCTCCATTCAATAAAATCCATAAACTTTTGTGGTTGTAATGGGACAAAATATGAAAAGCTTTACGGAATATGAATGTTTTTGCAAGACTCTATTTTTCAAATTTCATTATGAACATTCAAATACAGTCAAAGATGAGACATTGTACTCTTTTTTTAATGTATCTCATTTGTAATTGATACAAAAAGAAGAAGATACTTGCTTTTGGTTCCAACATATTAGGCATAGATACTCCCCTGTCCATCCTTGCAAGTGCTGCACGGCCATCCTTAATGTGCTAAAGGACAGAACATATACACATGTAATATAGTGGAAGGGGACTGCAAGGTTCATGGCATGAATATACGTCCACTTATGACAGTGGGTGCAGTTTTTACTGGATGGAGCGAGTAGCTTGAATACAGCTCTGTTTCTTAGTATTAAACATGGGCAGTCGTTTACAGCTTTCCTAAATATACAGCGGTTGTTGTTTTTTTCTGTCGTTCGTTTTAAGAAATAAGTATAACATGTAGCTTGAGTCATCACATTGATAAACAACACAGAGTAAGACATTAGGCAATGGTTATACATTGCTTTTACAGTACAGTTGTTCAGCTACTTGGCATGTGTGTGTTTGCTTCTTATATCTGTTGGAAACCACAGCACAATATGCCTTGTAGTTGAAACTAATTCAAACAGTGATGCAAGCAAGGAGCAGGAGTAGGTGGTGTGCATTCAGGGCAAGGTGACTCTTGCAACCCAATGACCAAGCATAGTATATGATGCAAAGATGAGGAGGCATGCCATGTGAAGAAAAGCAGATGAGAGACATACCTGAAACTCTGCAGGACAAAATGGGACAAAGAATGAGACTCACAGTTAATGGTTTGCTGTCGAGTTCCTGCAAGGCTACTTTTATCTACAGCACTGCTGTCCTTAATGAAAATCAAATATTTCAAAGTGCATGTTTGTGTATATGTACGCTTTACAAGCCAATTCTAATGCAGAATATCTCTGGTGAAACTTTCTTTGTGTGGCTTTGTTCTGTTTGAAGTGCTCACCTCTTCCTCCACCACACATGTCTCCATAGCTGTTGTACTGGGTGAAATCTGTAGACTGAGGCTGAAAAAAACCCAGAGAAATCAGCTTGTTAACTTAGGGAAAAAATAATCTTACAGATTTTTCAATCTATGTTTTGACATCTGTTTTATAGATTTCTTGACATATAATATTTAAACCCTTATTGGTGTATTAATTAATTTTATTTTACTAGACAACGTTATGAACATACTCGCATAACTAAACATAAAACATAATACAAACTATAACCTAACTAAATACAACCAAGTAATGAGAAAAAGCAAACAAGGAAACCACAGACAATCAGATATGTCAGACTAAAATACAGTAAATAGTGAAGTAAACCAAACAAATCAAATGTTGAACATGCTTATATATAAAACATTCTTAATGTTTGAGTGATAAAAGCCAAACAACATATTCTAGTCAGTTCAGAAGGGATTTCACAAAATATTAACTCAAAAAGGCTGAGTGAGGACAGATCAATTCAGAAAAAAAATTCTATTAATTGTTTTCCTTCCACTTCACAATTAAGTTGTTCCATCACATGCTAATTTCAATCAAAAACATTGTAGTTTGCAGTTGTTAACATAAAAAAATGTAGGCAAGTTTGCAGTGTTTAAAATTTGTGTACTTTATTGTTTATGTAACATCAGCATGTCAAGTTTTCTTACCCGATGCAGACCGTTCCGTCCATAACCAGGCAGAGAGTTGGTCTTGGTTGGAGATGTTGGATCTGAAACACAAATTACATACAAGGTACTTATAAAAAAGTAAAATTTATTTTGTTTATTGGCCTTATTTGAAAGTGGTCAAAGAGGACAGAGGGTAATGAGAGACAGGGAAAGCAGCAAAGGTCATCAGGCCAGGACTTGAACCTGTGACCTCCATACGTGGGTTGTGCTTTAACCCTGCGCCACCATAGCGCTCCAAGTTAAATTTCTAACTTAGGATAGTACAGAATATCTGTACTGTAAATACCCTACATCATAAAACATTATGATGTAGGGTATTTACAGTACAGATATTCTGTTAAGGTACATTGCTGACAAATCAAGAGTAAACCAGCTGAGGAGGCTGTTTCTGGCTACCTGCGTCACAGTTGTTCATTTTGGGATCGTAGCGCTGAGCAGAGAGGCTGCGCGCATGCCGCTCCCTAATCTGCTCTTTCTCCATCTCCTCCTTCAGAATGAGTTTTCCCAGACCAGACTGAATCTGCAGAGTCAAAACCAAACATTAATCCAATGCCAAACAGCTTCAGAGAATAAACAGAGACAGCTATACAGTATTTACAGTAACAGGAATCTAAATATTATCTGACCAACCTTACTGAGATGTTCTTCCTGAAGTTGCTTTCTTTTGAAAGCTTCTTCCTCCTCCTCTTCTCTAGACCGCCTCCTCCCTTCTGAACCTACAAGATTTTAGAGAAGTTACAAAAACCATCATAAGACTTAATTACACCTAACACAGAACTCAAACAAACCTGTGTCCTTTAGGGAGACCATGCTTTACAGACACGTCCAGTGAAAAGTTTACATACACTCATTAAGGGCTGATTAATTTAGGTATTTTCTCATTGAAGTGAATCATTTTTCCCAGGGTGGAACCATTAGACCCCAAACAAACTCACTAATTTTTAAAAAACAAAGGAACTTGAATCTAGACTCCATTTTGTGTAATGTCTAAATACGAAGGCTCAAATCAAAAAATTAACCCAGACTATAAATTATGTGATTATGCTTAAAGAGCTGCAACTTCATCTCTTCTGGCTGAAAATGTGACCAATGTTCTTGACATAGCAGGTGGAGCTCATTTGAATTGATTGGTTTCTTGGTATGGACTCTACTTTTAAGCATAAACCGTAAAATTTTAACATAGTTAAAGTGAAACCATGCCAGAGTTTTAATGCCAGCCTGCTTCAGATTTCCCAAAAACAATTTTGATGTGATGGGATCCTTGTCTTGTTGAACGATTCAGGTTTCAAACTGTTAGCTTTTGATTGGAGCAGAAGTTGAAAACCCTGAAGGTTTGTTGCTTGTGCGAGTCGGTGGCTGCAAAGTTGAGCTGGCCTTTTAAGTGTCAGTTGTGGAGCTGTCAGGTATTTTTTTTTTTTTTTTGGGGTGGATTTTTCACAGAAGTCAAAGAGGAAGAGGAAGAGGAAGTTCTATAATTTTGCCCAGCTGAGGTAAGTCAGAACTCCTATAAATAAAAACTCCAGAAATTGTACTTTGGTTTCAAGCACTTACAGCATACAGATATTTAGTGTAAATATATACCATTTAGAAAAAATACATCAAATAATAAAGTAGACGGTATATGTAGGTGTACAGTCATTTTTATATAAAGAAAAGAAGAAAACAAAAGACAGGCTCTGCTAGAGTAAATATGCTAACGCTGTTTCACCAACCTAAATATAAAAGTCTAATAGTTTGTGTCCAGGATGTGTGGGGTCTGCAGAGAAGTTAGTAACACTTAATTGAAGAATTATGGAAGTGTATGTGTTTATTTGAGCTTTAATGCATAATTTCAATACTTTACTAATAAGACAAATTCAACAAAAAGTCAAACTCACAAACCCAATTTCTGTTTTTATGCAGCCATTTCACCCTGGGAAAAGAATGGCTAAAATAAATACATAGATGCCTGTAATTATTATGACACCTACAAAGAGAGGATGTGAACTTCTCACCAAAACTATTTGTTGAGGGCATAGAAAAACAAACCAAACATGGCTGGCTCAATAACTAATAGGTGGACGATTTAACACAAGTCTGAGACAGAGCTGACGAGACAGACAAACAGAGAGACACTTGTTGGATTATTTGGGTACACAGACGTCACAGCTAAATTACAAAATTTAGAGGATGTCGAATACACAGAATGTAAGACAGACAGACAAAAGTTTGAAGTCAGTCTCAGTTATCTCTGTCCAGGTTATTTGGGATGCTTTTATGATTAACTGAAGCAATAAAGCAAGACCTCCTGAAGCAGAAAATAGGACAGCAGCAACAGAAACCAAACCACGCCTTCACTCAGCGCAAGCAAAACTTAAATGGCAACTGATGGGTAGGTAAAGGATTACACTGGGGGTTGATGGAGGGAGGCAGGTAAGCTGGGGGTAGGAAACAAGCAAAGCTCTGTCTGGATGAGCTTTTATTTTACCACCAGGGGCAGCTGCGCACACACAACCATCTACCGTACCTAAAACAGCGAGAGAGTGGGGCCAACAGTCGCCCTCACTCCGGGAGCTGTCATCCAGGGAGGGAGCATGGGCAGCAGGGAAGGTGGCGGATCTGATGATGTCCTCACCAGACTTGCTTTGCTGAGCTACGGCAGCTGTATCTAGGTTGGTAATCATGGGAACTGAACTATCAGTGTCTGGGTCACTGTCTCACAGCCACAAGGAAATATCTTAGCGCCACAATCATTCAGTACTGGGTCATGTGTTCACAGTGCAAAAATGAGTTTCCCTAGCGAATCACTGCGTGTCATGCAGGGCAATAAAACAAGCTGGAGCAGCTAATCCAATTCATTGAGATGAAAACTTAATGTCTATTTTATAGGCCAAAATAGAGCTGCAACATCTCTGTTCAGAGGTAAAAGCTTAGCGAATAAGGTGTTAAAGACACATATCTACTTTTTTTTTTACTATCAATAAAAAAAAAACACTTCCTCCACTTTAAACTTGAAAACTGATAGATTTAAACATAGTTGATTTAAACATAGAATGCTGCTTCAATCTAAAGCATCAAACAGGTGAAAGTAAACTAAAATAACAGCGCCAATCTCAACTTTAATTCATATGGGGAAATATTTTGGAAATGTTGACATGTTAATTAATCCATTAACATGTCAATGGGTCAATTCTGAGTCAAACATTTCAAGCCCATTTTGATTTTTTGTCAATTAAAAGAAGGAAAAATATGTGAACTGGATCAGTTTTGGGGGGAATTTAACCAAATTTAATTACAATTTATATGAGCAAAGAAAACAGGACTTGTATGAAAAAGCTAGCAAACTCAGGTTGCAAATTCAACCCAACAAATTAATATATTAAAGCCCATATAACATTATAGTTTAGCTTACACAACGCCGCTCATGAAGAATCAACATTACTGCCTACTACTGCAATCCAGCAAGAGTTTTGCACATTGTCTTATCCGAGCCACAATCACACCATTTTCAGAACTTGTTGATATGGACAAAGTGCAGTGTAGAAGCAAACTACAGACAGAAAAGGATTAGAGACAGACTTCAAACATCACACTGACACTGAAGGTGACTATGATTAGATGAACACACTGAGTCAACTGGGTTCAGTTGAGATTTTTTTCTTCAACTTTCAAAAATGTTTCTGTTTTTTTTTTTTTATATTTAATACTCGAAATTGTTTGCATTTTTATTTACTCCTTAGCGCTTAGATAGAACATATCCATCTTAGATAGATGGAAACAACTATTAAAAACATTTCTGTTTTAATAATAACTCAGTAAGAATTTTTCATTTTTCTTGAATTATCACTCTGCAAAACAAATCCTGAATTAGGCAGAAGTTACCGTGAAGTTTGTAGATGGGTGGTTTTCTGTAGATGTTGATCCCCTGATCTGAAAGCAAATAAATACAGAAAAACTTCACTTAGAAAACTGCTGTTTGTATTTACTAAATAATTTTTGCCTGGTATTAAAATTGCTCAATGTACATTTGAGTGTGACAAAAAAGACGTTTGCATTGTACATCATGTTTATAAGCCAACTTAATTTTTTTATACATATTTTGTGGCTGTAGGTCTAAAAGCGGATCCTTTATGGTGTAGAGAGAGACAGAAAGAAACAAACCAATTGAGACAACAGCATAACAGAAATGCAAAGAGAGTCAACAGGACGAGCAGTGACAGGGTGCGCTCCAGCTCCTACCTGGGACGTGGAAATGTTTAGGGGTCTGAGAGAGAGGCGGGGTGACCGGCCGGCTGTCGGGCCTGAGCGGCAGGGGGGAACTCCGGCCACTCGGTGGGTCGGGGCCTCCAGTGAGAAGAACCAAGAACAGAACATGAGCAGGTTCACTGAAGTCTGAATTGCGAAACACACAGGGGCCAAAAGGAGCAGGTGAGGGGATGCTGGATGAACAAGACGCATTCTGGGAAACCCAATTGATGGAGTTGAACAGATGCAGCTCAAACTAACTGATAAAAATCTCTGGAGATGGTAAATAATGTTGGTTAATCATAGGAGCTTTTATTTAGGAAACTAATTCCTCAAAGCAAGCAGCAGCTAACCTTCATAGTAGAGAGGAGAAATATTTGTGCCAAGTGAAATTTTCCACATTTTCTCATATTCAAGCCACAAACTGGCGCGTGTTCTCTAACAAACCTCCGAGGCTTTTATAAGTCACTCTGTCTTCTGAGAACAATTGGTTGCATTGCTTTTTTCTAGGGAGCAAAAATGAAGCTGAATGCAATTGCATGCCACACTTTTCAGATTTTATATTGCAAAATGTTTGAAAAAACATGCATGGGACAAAATCAGAAAATGTTCAGTATGAATGAATATTTTTGGAGGGCAGTATGCCTAACCCCTTTATTGTGTTTTAGTTTTAGATTTAATGGACCTATTGTGCAATCCAGTAGGGGTGATGAGATGCTAGATATTGACTTTGTTTTGCAGATATCTGAAAAGTGCATGCAAAGTGACTAAAGACTAAAGTCAGCTGTTTTAGTCAAACTGGTGCAAATTGGTGAAAATGTAAGGCTTTGGCTGCAAGACTCTTCTTAAGACAAACTACAGGTGTGGTTCTGACGGGATATGGAGATGGATCCGGGTGAAAGATGACACAATGATGAGGGGCATCCATCTGACTGAATGGAAATGACGTGTTGGTTCAAAACTGGGCATCAGACACATGTGGCCCCTTACCTTGGCTATGGGGGAGGAAGTGGTGTCTGAAAGGGGAGGTGGGACGAGAGTCACTATTTCTGGAGCCCACACTGTTACTGCACAGGGAGGAGCAGAGCTTCTGCATGCCTGTCAGAGCTTCTGCAAGGAGGGAGGAAAGGCGTGGGGCAGAAACCCCAGCACCAAGCCGCAGAAGTGGACAATGTGAGGAGGAGGAGCAGGAAGTAAAAGGGCGAGACGGCAGGGGGCCAAAGGAAAGGGAAGAAATACATGAGTCAAAGGTGAAAAAGAAATAAAAGACACCCAAAGTGAAAGGTAAAAAGTAGGGGGAAAAAAACAAGTGTTAAACTTAAAAGGTACTTGGCCATTTTGCCCCCTTACTAGTTTGTACCATCACTTCATGCTGCTGCCATTCCAGTCTAACTAACCTTCCCAATCATTATTTTGCCATTGTACTGAAAAAAAAGTCTTATCAGGGATTTTTGGTCTAGTTTCTAGTGCAAATCACTTAGTGGACTTCAAATAAGACAAAACTAACTTACAATTTAACGGAGCTTATTTTAACTGCATAGTTCCTTAATATTGAATTGAAAGGAAAGTACTAGACTAACTTCGCACATTAATGATTTTGCTAACTTTGAAAACATTTAGCACACTTTTTACCAGATTAATTCTAAAGCACTAATTTACTTGGGCGTTTTGTAAACTTTCAGTTGAATAAAGTTCAATGTCTGTGATGAAGTTTTGGTTCTCGCCTGCTGAATTTCTCAAGTAATTACAGGTTTATATTCATGCTCTTATTTTGAAGTGGGTGAAAACTGTTTAGGCAGTAGTTCCGTTTTCTCTCCTCACCTCTCTCAATTTGCTTCCCAAAAACTTTATTTCAAACTTAGAAATAGGATCAAAATAAAACACGACAGTAGAGAGCAACGTGTAAATATGAATATAATACCCAAGGCATTACAGTGTATGTAAATTAGAATATCAAAATTAAATTGTTGCTCATTGGTTATAGTCTTTCAAGGGCAAATATAATGTAAACTGAAATTAGCAATTTAGCCTTAACAGAACTGATGTTCAGGATGAGTTCTTTAAGGTTAGCAAAACTAACTTTTAAGTTTGCTGTGCACACCACTGTATGGTTATTCATATTAATTACTGGAAATTACATTAGGCCATTGCTCCTGAATCGCCAAACAGAGGTGACGACTATCTAATGGAGGTAACATATTGACCCTAAAGAGATATTCCACCAAGCCAATTTGAAATGAATCATTTTCAAGAAGATAAGCGTCACAATAAACTTGAAATTATTTGTTTTGAAAGAAAAAAAAACGTGACCAGACCTCCACATGCTGATCTCTTCGAGTACGCACCAGGTCTGTGAAAATGCTGCGGTGATCGTGATAGGGTGGGAGTGTAACCATGACGATTATACACCGGGGAACCTATGGAGCCTTGGCTGGTGGATCTTTGGAGAATCCGGTCCCTCCTGTCGTAAAAACTCTGTCACACATGCACAGATTGGGAAATGTTTTATTGAGATCATTCACACTGTAAGTCACAGAGCGAACGGAAACGACTGGCTCACCTCGGCTGATGGGGTTGGCGACATGTTTCTTGATGACTTGAAAAATAAAACAGTTCTGATTCAGAACAGCTGTTTTGGGGTTTTTTTCTTATAACAAAGATTTAATATAATTTATATTTCCTTTTTCATTCAGTGAGTGATGGTTTCATAACTTTCATAGCAATGTTCATCGGGAGACGTCTTACCTTATCATCGGGCATCGGGGAACGCTCCCGTCTAGCAGAGTGGAGCTGAGAAAAAACAAACAGTTGTCTCAAGGAAAACTGTATTTTTTTTGTTCATCTTTACCCGGGTTCTATACATTTTGGTGTGCATACAGCAGAAGAAGAAGCATGCAGTTATTGTATTTACCTCTCCCACATACTCTCGTCTCTCGTCTTTCTCATCCAGGGAGGTTGTGTACATAGGTTCATACGTGATAAGATCGGGGCGCTCAATGTCATAAATGGCTTTGACTTTTGGAATGGCAGCTAGGTCTCTGTAATCAAGGATCTCATTGTCTACTTTTGCCTAGAGATACAAATATGCAAAGACACACAATAATAAAGGGAGATTATTAAGATTTAAAACTCTAAATATATCTATAGATGTATATTTAGAGATGTCAGCAGGAGTTTCTCACATAGATGGTGTGACCCGGTGAGCCAGGTATGCTTGACCCAGGTCTGGAACAAATGCTCTCAGACGATGACCTCGTAGGCTATGAAATACAAAAATATGAGTAGATTTTTTTTTTAAACTCTCTATAAGTCACTCTTTTAACACAATCCACATCTAGCTGCAATCTGTAAATGCAACTACATTTCAATTCATTTTAATATCACTGAAAAGTTCATTTACTTCACCAAATGAATTAAAGTCAAACTAGCATACTACATAGGTCCATCACATACAGGGTGACATATTTTAAGCATTTATTTCTGATAATTTCAGTGACTATGGCTTACAGCTAATGAAAAACAAAAATTTAGTTTCTCAGAAAATGTAAACATTACTTAAGAACAACGAAACCAGCAGCACCGAATTGCTATAATACAGAAATTATGAAGAAGACGAACTTTACAGTTATACAACAGACATTCATTGACACTTTCACATGAAAAATAAGCTACAAAAAGTCTTTGCAAAAGAAGTTCACTGCTCACAGAGAGCTGTGTCCAACCGTACTAACAGGAAAGTTTAGTGGAAGAAAAAATGTAGTAGAAAAAAAGTGCAAAAGCATCAGAGATGTTTGCAGCTTGATGTTTATTTGGCATCTGAGGCACATTTTACATGAATTACTGAATCAATGCAGTGTGGTATGGATGCAATCAGTTAAGCTGAGGCATTAAGAAAGCCCACGGGACCTTGATAGCCTTCGGTTCACCTTCATTGTTAGTTCTGGTGTCCACGAAGCAAAATCCAATTATTTTTCTCCTTAGCCCAGGTAAGACACTTCTGACATTGTCTCTGATTCAGAAATAGCTTAAGATAAGGGATGTGACAGTAGAAGTAAATGTCTTTTATGTGTGTGGTGGACCTTAAACTCCCCTAAACTCTAAAATCACCTTGTTTTACAATCCCCTCTATGCTTCAGTTGTTCCTGTTATTTGTGTAGTTTTCTTTAATAGATATTTTCCTTCCACTAAGCTTTTTGCAGTTTGCTAACAGCCATCTTCTTTAACAATGACCTTTTGTGGCGTGCCTTCTAACAATACACTTGGTTGACAACTCATAAGCAGTGAGTTTCTCACATGGGATTATATTGTTACTATAACAATACATTTCTATACTGATGGTTTTGTTGATCTAATGTGATATTCAGAATTTTCTAAGAAACTGAATTTTGGGTGCCTTAATGGTGTTCTAATTTTTTGGATGCACTTGCAGATTATTATCCAATCCCTCTGAACAGTTCACATTAGGTTAGTTGTGTGAGCAATGAAGGGGGGACCACTTTACATCTTACAGCAAGGTTGCCCAGATCCAGACCTGGAGAGATGCAGTTCTGCAACTTTCAAATGTATCTCTGCTCCAACCAATCTGGATCTAAAGAATGGTTCGTTTCAAGATTTTGATTCAGTTGTGCTGCAGCAAGGACGTATTTAAAAGCTGCAAGACATAATAATTGGTCTTCTGCACTCCGGTCTTGAAGTAACCTAAGCTACTTAATACTAACATGTCATCTCATGCTTAGTTCATTCATTTGCAAATTTTGCAAAGTGAATGAGAGCTTTAGCTCTGTGGTTTGATGATCTAAAGAGCCTCATGCTTGGAAATGAGAAAACTGAATAGCAGCAGCAGCAGGTCTGAATCAGATGAGTTTTGGGTAAATGGAGGTTTTGTAAAAAAAATACTCAAAACTCAAAAGTTTTCTCCTCCACCAAATGTGCGCCTCTTTGTCTCATCATGCAGCGTAGAAGTGAAGTAGATTAAGTCTGCACTGAATGGCTGAGCCAGAGAGAGGGCACTGCAGGCTGTCTCCAGCAGGTGGCAGCATGTAGTGATCTGGGTCCTTAATGTATGTGGTGGAAATACAGAATGATGCCGTCTGAGAGCCAATACTGAATACAGTACCTGCCTTTCTGTTTGTTGGAGGAATAAGAGGGACGGAGGCAACAGCTGTGGAGGAAGGGAGAGGGGGGAGTTCACAGTGCCTCTTCTGCCCAACACCAGTTCACACACACAAACATCCACACGCACATCATCACATGTAAATGAACAAACAAACACATGCACACAGCCTCGACAGTGCCCAAGCAGGCAAATTATTTTAACCACAGATGGTTAAAGTTTAACAAGTCCATCCAGGGAACGATAAGAGAGCATGTTGGGCTTGTTACACATTCTTAATCTCTATCTTTTCCTGGAAAATAATGTCAAGAGGGCGAGACAGAAAGGTAACAGGAAGTGGTATAGAAATATTTCCCAAATTCCTACCCGTTCTCTGTGTCTCTCCTCTGTTCTGGTGGTGTTCTTGCACCCGGGATGCCACACTGTCGAGCCTTGGAAGCAAGATGGAAGACAATTATAAAAGCCCACAATTCAAAGAATTATTATCACTCATCATTAAAGCCAAATCTGTGCCAAGAAAAGAAACAATCTTCATGAACTCTACAAATTCTGACAAGAATGTTGATCAAATATTCCTCCAACTATCATGTGGGGAAATTGTTGATAGCTGCATATGTGTTTTGTTTGACTAAAGATAAATATATGGATGAGTTTCTCAAGATCTTGCTGGGATATTAATCCTTTGACCTTAAAAATGTTCTCCAGGTGATAGAAGGTCGACTTTGTAATTGTCTTTATTTGTCTCTGAAATTTCAGGTGCTAGTTAGGTTTAAGGTAACGGTCAGGTTTAGCCTACATAAATTAATTTAAAATAAATTTAAGTCAATGGAAAGTCTTTGTGGAGATATAAAAACATGAATAAAATATACCAGTATGGACATACAAATAACATGATTAATGTTTGGCTTCAAAGCAGAAAATTACAATAAGTAGAAAAAAAAGAACTTAAAACAATTTTTAATTCTTAAATTGCCAATTTGTTGATATCTGCTACTGAAGTTAATATAAGACAAATTAGAGAATTAATCGCTTTATTTGTAGCTTAATCGTGATTGGAGAAACTGGAAAGGCAACAACGATCACGTGAAACAACCTCTTACATTTAGGCATCTATAATATTTCCTATTTCAAATGCAGTACTAGTGGCTCGCCTAAGATTTACCCAAGAGATCACAAAAGTAAATTTAGTTCCACTCACCTTGCAGATACATCTCTTCTCCCTCTGTGAACATCTGATTGCACCTGCTGCATCTCGCACAACTGGGGTGGTAGTGTTTATCTCCTGCCTAAAAAACATGCAGCAAACACTCAAGACTTCCAGGTTATAAAGCCAGGTGCTCCACCTGCTTCCTGTTGCATTTATTCCTCCTTCCAAGATCCAGGTTACTCTTAATGTATCACACTTCCGTTAAAGGGGATGCTTAGTATCACTTTACATATTGCATTCAAGCATGATGACCCACAAAAACGCTGACTTTGTTCAAAATGTGACCTCACTGACATTCACCCACTCGACGGTCAACCTGCCTTTCAAATACCCGCTTTGAGCAAACCCTCAAAACGCAACGCAATGAAAAGATATGATAGCAGGAGAGTCTAAATTTCCTTCCACTCTGATGTGGCACTTTGCATGCAAAGTGCTCCATTATAAAAGCTAGTGTGAATTTGACCACGGATGATAAATAGGCAAATGAAATACAGCCTGCAGGATAACAACTCTGTGTAACATTTCAGCCTGCAAGTGGCCACTTAGTGATATGCATAGTATTTGCATTTTACTGCATAAAAAAGTTCAGTTGTCTGTGCTATTGCTTTTCAGTTTATGGCCTGACTCAAATTTCTTTTTCAGCATAAAAATAAAATTGATGTTGTGAATGAGGAAATGCTTTTTCTTATATGTAGTTTCAGAGAGTATAAAGGGCTCCTGTTTGCGTCTGTAGGGTTAGAATTGCTGCACAGACAGATAATCAGTGCCTAAACATGTTAACAATTACACAAACACAGCTCACACCATATGAAGCTTTAGCCCAGAATTTCATAAGAGCTGCACGACATACAGAATTAATAAATAATCACATCCTAAATGTCAGACGACATTAGGTGGGTGGGTTTATGTAATAATTATGCAATTTGTGGCAATGAAAACTTGTAGAGTGCATGCCACTGGAGTTACAAAATCTGCAAAGAATTAATATTTTACATGCATAAAGTCATGTAAAAGAGTCTGCTTGGATGGATGCTGAAGAGATTACACATCAGGGATTACAAACTACATTTCACAATTCTGCTCTGTGCAAGAATTTATACTGGAAGCGGAGCAGCTTAATATATGCAAATTCTACATCTTTTTCAGTGCAAAACATGTAAATGCATATGCATATTCCTAACAACATTATGTTCCTTCATATTCTTACCTTAGGCAGGGTCACATAGGAGTAAAATGAGGTTAATAATTTGGTCCCAGAAGCATGATAGATGGCTGCACAGAGAGTGCAAAGGGACACATCTTCCTTTTGTATGGAGCCTATCAGCGGTATGCAGGGTGTGCTCCGTGTGCAGTTTCTTACCTCTAACACCTTCCCCGTGATGAACTGATGACACGCCTCACACTGAACTCCAAAATGGATCTGGTAGTCCTTCTCGCAGTAGGGGGCGCCATCCCTATAAAGAGGAGCGAGACAAATCCAATCCAGGATCCAGACATACTGTCACAATACACGGCTGGATCTGAGCAGGAGGCGTGTTGAGAGAGCAGCTGCTTACTTGCTGATGTACTCCCCAGTCAGCACTTTGCCACAGGCCTTACACTTAAAGCAGCCCAGATGCCACTGTCTGTCCAACGCCAGAAGAGCCTGACCGTTCTTGATGTCGCGACCACATCCTGAGCAATCTGGGAAGGCATAAGGAGTAAAAAGTGTGGTTAGGTGCAATACAAAAAGGTTAATTGCTGTCAATAATGCCAATAAAAAGTAAAACTCAGTTATTACGTAGCTATTTTGCACATTTTATACAATTATCTATGTCAAGTGTTCTTTTTTTGTTCATTTTGCAGCTAATAAATTCAGTTGATCAGACAGGAAGAATATTACATGAATGGAATACTTTTTTTTATTTTTATCCATTAGTCTGATGCCCATGCCAGTCATGAAGAAGACTGACAGGTGTCCCATAGGCAGTCACCCTCCACAAGGAGGTTGAATCACCAATGGGTCACTGGTTGTTCACTAAACGCTGCATCCAGGCATGTTAATGGAAGGTCGGCTGGAAGGAAAACCACCTCCTTGCTCAACAAATTAGCGATGATTTAGGGAGCAAAGACATCGGCTGGTGTTGGTCCACAGTTTTAATAAATTTCAAAGTCAATGTGGTCATCTACTTCAAAACTTCCCCTTCTACAGACAATGGAAATGTTGATATCATTCTCCAGCAGGACTTGACACCAGCACACGATGCCAAACGTACCAAAATGTGCTTTAATGAAGATGGTATGCTTGCGCGTTTTAGGCTGGGAAATTGGCTTAATTTCTGTGTTGCTGAATTTCATATTTTACTAAGCTATATTTTTCAAAACACTTAAAATATATAATTCTGTGTGTGATAAGTCACAGTTTTAAAAATGAATTCAAGTAATAAAATAAATAAAACTATATTCTAACTAAGTGAGCAATATTTTGGTTGAATTATAAAATATATTGACAGTGCCAGAAACAAAAGTTGGATTCAAGTAAAAACATGCCTCCACAAGCAGAAAAACTAATCAAGCATGTCAATTCTGACTGGAGACATTAGATGGTGATAGAGTGCAATTAGCAGCGGTCTAACAGTTGTTCCTTCTCATCAACACTCAGGACTGAAAGCTTCATCCATATCCAAGTGGGATTTTGAGGGAGTGCGAGTGCAAAATGTTGGTTGCCATCTCTTTTTTAATAAATAGAACAACTCAGAGCCAACTGTAAGCACAGAGGATAACTTTGTAAGGCATAGCAAGGCTGTGATGATGACGCGAGTAGAATCAGCATGCCTTATTTATAGGTGACCTTGTCTAAAAGCTCTTCAAACGCAAGCAGAGAGACCAGCAGGGGTGGGAGAGGCAAGCAGGAGGGAGAGGATGAGAAGCTGGAAGAGGAGGGGTATTTCAGGGCAACGCATTCCCTGCTCCAGAGGGAAGGAAATGCATGGGCATGAATTATTTAGCAATGCCAGTCTTCGTGTTATACACAAAGAAGAGCTGTGCAGAGAGAGAGCTGGAGGATCCCCTTCAAAAGGTGGACCTCTGTCATTCCTCTCATTCCTTTGGTTTTATGGAGACTTTCTGGGATATTACACGGATTGGAAAAAATTCCTTTACATCTGTTTAACATTTAGCTTTAGTTGGGCTTTTATTGCCTGAGTAAACAGCTTATGACTGCAGATTGTAGTGAAAATTACACCATTTTAAACTTTCAAGAAAGTTGTCTATAGTGACTATACAAAGTAATCACCTTATATGTTTTACCCTTTTTATTTTTTACAAATAAACTGAAATATTTACAAAAATATTTCAGTTTATTACTCTAGTAAGTATTGCAAAAAGGGAATGTTATGACTTCATCATATGGGTTTTAATTTTTATTCCTATGATAATGAACACAGTGAACAACCAATAGCAATTATTCCAAAACCATCTGGACATCAAATTAGAGATAACGAGTAATTTAATCACATTTGTGTAGACAAAATCCTCAACTTCCTAAAACGTCTTTTTAATTTGTGAATGAATGGGGGTTAATCCCTTTTAATTGCATAAAGTCCTGCAGTTAATTGTGATTAAAAATTGTAATCATTTCATGCTCCTTTGTATTTGTATTGCCTCTTAAAATATCGATGCCCTTTAAACTGTTCCACATTTTGTGATTTCCTCTCTGTTAGATAATTACTATATGTCATCTTACAGCTGGTAACAACTTATTGAACCCTTACTGATAAAGAGTAGCTTCTCACTTCTTAAACAGCTTTGTTAAAAAAAAACCATCCTGATTGTGGAGAATATGTTAGTCTGTCTAAGAAGGTGAAATCATTGGCGTCCATCAGAGAAAACATCTAAAAAGATGGCAATGCAGACTAAAATTGGGTTGAGAACTATTAAATGCATTATCAAAAATGGAAGGAAAGTGGGGAACCATCGTCTTCAAGGAAGAAATTTGGTCAGGAAGAAATTGTGATTAATTATGATTAGCAATTGCTTAAAAAGTACAAACCTATTTGCAATTTACCACTGGCCATGAAGGAGACACAGTAGACATGTGGAAGCAGGAGCTCTAGTCAGACGAGTCCATGATTTAACAGTTCGTGTAAAACATTACACCTGGCAGAAAACTAAAAATATGCTTCACTGAGAGTAGAATGTCACCACTGCGACAAATGGTGGTGGCTGCATCATGCTTTGGGATGCTTTTTTTCTGCAGGAAGGTTAATGTGGGGACATTTCAGAAGAAAACCTGTGAGAGCCAGGAAAAGAATAGACACTAGAGTGAAGGTTCACTTTCCAGAAAAATAACACCTCTACATCTGCAGACAACTATACGATTGAAAACTTCAGAATTAGGCATCTAAAATATAAAAGTGTCTTATCATTTGTTGTGTTTTATGTTGGGTCATTTAGGTTTTTTTTTTTCACCAAAGTCTTTACCAATGGTTGCTGAAATTGGGAAAACCAATATCCTTTTTTCTTTAACTTCATAAAAACCCACCACTACCTTAACAAAATATATACAAATTTGTGGGAATATTTTTGAAAAACTGTCTAAAATGATTTATCTGTAGAATATTTCGAAATTCTCTAACATATTCTCTGGAAATTAGTAAAATCATGTTTTTAAATAAAATGTTAGTTAATATTTACATGATTTTGACATGTAAATAATTTGTAATACCCCGAAAAGCAGTAAAAAGACTGGTAAGCAGCTGCATTAAAAGTCATGGAGCAACACACTAGTTACTCCACGCTTCCCAGCCTTGAGTGAAACCAAACCTGAGCTTTTGCCAAGCTAATTTCCTTCCTGTATTTTGATAAAACAAAACAATAGCTACTTACTGCTAGAACCCAGGATGTCCTTCGGTCCAGGAGACGTGGGCTCGACGCAGTACTGACACAGGCAGTCCTTTCCGTTGAAGGTCACCCTGTCTCCGGCCGGGAACGGTCGTCTGTTAGACATAAAGTCAAAGAAACAACATGGTGTTGTTGCCCCGTGGCAAGTGTTACAGCTTATTAGTTATGGGTTGCAGGGCTGAAGATGGCAGTGCTCTCTCACAAAGATGTGTGTCAACACTGAGCGCCTGAGTAGGACATTCAGTCGGACAACGAACAGCAACGAGACATGGCATGCTGCTGCACGCTGTCAACTGGAATTCCCACCAGTCTCATCTTAGTTCATCACAACAAATCAGTCTGTGCATCATGGGCGTGGTCACTGGCTATCCTTGAAATCTGATTGGCCCCCCTGCCTGACCACACCCTCCACCTCTATCGGTCAGTTTGTGGTGTACATAGGTTAATTGTTTGCATTGACTAAAAGGTGTGCGTTATTTTATTTTATCCATTTACATAGAAATTTATTGAACTTACTCGACTTTTTTTAGTTGTAGATTGCAAAACCTATTTGTGGTTATTTTATTTTAATTTCGCGTGCCACTCGTGTCTGACCCCTTAATAAAAAAAAAAAACAATAATAATCTAGACATGCCCCGGCTGTGTATAATGTGATTCTCACTGAACTGGAATCTATAAGAAATGTTTCTGAAATCCAAGTTACGTTTGCAGAGATGTTCAAGTCATGGTTTTATCAGACCCCTTACTTGCAGATGGTGCAGACGAAGCAGGAAGGATGGTAAGTCTTGCCCAGGGCAGTGACGACTTCTCCCTCGACAAAGTCCCCGCACCCATTGCAGCGGGTGCCGTGCATGCGTTGGTAGTCGAGCATGCACAGATAATCCCCATTCTTCATGAAGAAGCCCCCCTGGGCGAGGTCACAGCCGCACACTGTACATGACACATACATTTGTTCTCATTTAGTCCTTTGCCAATATCGTTCATTAAAGCCACCCAACCTCTCCACGCACCAGTGGCTTTGTTGAGAGGCTCACCCAGTGTGTGAAATAGCTGCTGACTAAAAGGTCACAGGAAAATACATCTAACTGCTTTCTGTAATGCAGTGGGAAGCAAAACATAAAAGTGTTCGATCATCTTTGATTGTAAGGGCACAACTAAAACAAAATGAACTAATAGTTTAGCTCAGGAAAGCCATGTTGATTTGTTTTGCTGATGACTGGTTTTGAATAATGTGCCAAATCTTTAGTCTCCAACAAGTTTCCTTCAATTCAAATATAACCTTGTAGTCTGCAAAAACATGAAAGACTAAAATAACTAGAGATGTTATGTGAAAGATGAAGAAGAATGAGAAATGTGATGTGACCTTGAATTCAGCTCCAAGTTCGTAAAAACAAGTAACTTGTTTGCTCTGATCTAGGAAAATGTTGAATTCAAGCAATTAAATAAAATTTCAAAATAGTTTATTATAAGCATTTTAAAATATACAAGTAACATAAATTGCGCCACAACTTACACATTTAGCTACGACTTTGGTGGGGTTTGGTTTTGGTGGCTGGCAAAAAGCTTTTCGGTTTTTAATAAACTTTCAACAAGTAGTTTTCTATTGGCCAGAAAATTTGTGAACGTTCAACAAAAGCTCCCATCATGACCCATGCACTTTATTTATAGGCCTGTAATTTTAAAACCTTTGTGGACTATTTAATGTTAAATATCATTCTTATGTAAACGGTCAACACTAAGTCCTGAGGATGAATGCAGAGGGTGACGAAAGGAATCATCTTTAATTGCATTAGAGCCCAGAGATGATGAGATTACTGACATAACTGAGTCGAAAAGAAAACCAGCGCCAGAGACGTGGTGGCTTCAGACTTTGAGCTCCAGCTGTTTCCACTTTTCATTAGTCTCATACCACTACAGAAATAGTAAACTCAATAAGACAGATTCATGAAATTCAACTGAAAAAGATTTAGGGGAAACTTGAATTTGTGTGTCAAATGTAGTAAGAGAAAGAAACCAACGGTGTCATGTTGGTGATGTGGCTTCAGCCTCATCTATAGATTTGTCGGGCAACAGAGGATAAAGTTAAAACTAGGACTAAGACAGTGTCCATTAAAGCTGTTCTGGTGTCCCTTTTGAGAATCATTAACCCCGACCAAAATACAGAATTAGCAGTAATCTCAGCATTGGACAGTGTTATTTTGAGCCCATGGTGAGCTAAGCTAACTCTATAACAAGTGTTTAAGTCACAGATTAACAACAAAGGTTCGACAGGGATAGTTCAGGTCAAAATAAGGCTGCCTGATTAGCAATGTGAGCCTACATTATGCATGTGCCAGAATGCCAAAGGCGTACAGTGATAGGGCTGAACCCAGGTGGATTATAATGATTACATGTTGAAGTCTGGATGGCATCTTAATTAGACGTAAAAAGTGAAGAGCCCTCATTTCACCTTATGGAATGCTAAAAAGTTACAATTTCACAGTGCAGTGAAAGCATTCATAACACTTGACCTCTTTCACATTTTCTCATGTATCATCTATAAACTTTATAATAATCTGAATAGTGTGGAATATAGTTAAGACTCCACATCACTCTGAGGATACCAGATTGGTGGAAATATCATGCTGTGGGAATGATTTTCTTTATCAAGTACAGGAAGGCTGGTTAGAGAAGATGAATGGAGCTAAAAACAAGAGAACATTTCTTAGAGTCTGCAAAAGACTTTATTCAATTTGAGTCTGGGGCAGAGGTTAATCAAATGCACACCATACATTTAAATTTATTTTAAAGTTTTAATTATCTATTTCTTTGTAATTCATACTTACACTATTTTTTTCATCTCAAATACAAATAAATTACATCATCTGTGGTTGTAACAATACAAAATATGAAAGAGTTCAAGAAATATGAGTAGTTTCTTATCCTGACCCATTCTGCTTATTCTAATACAACTTTGAATGTGAACAAATATATATTTCACCTGTAGTAACCTTCTTCACACATCTTACTATTAACGTCGTAGTCCATACAATCATATAAAATATATGACTGCTACATGAGTAGTGAGTATCTACTATTAGCACTTCAGCTACAAATTTTCACACAACTCCCACAGTTTCATTTATATATTAAAAAAGTTCAAGCTGTTTCATTTCTTGAATTGTAGAGAGACCACATGTTCATCCATCATGAGGAATATTAGGTTTCTCAAAGCTGAGTTAAGACTGAGACAATCTTACAAGCAACCTCAAATGAACACAAAAAATGTAATATTAGTTACTCAAATCAGTACATTAGTGATAATAATTTCCTGTTACAAAATGTGTGGGGGGGTTTTACCTTTACAGGTGAAACATTTCAGGTGAAAGTGTTTGTTCTGCACCCGGAGGACCTCGCCCTTGCATGGCTCCCCGCACTTGTAGCACTGAATCAGGGGCTTCTCGCTGGAGTGGTGGTGTGTGTCCGGTGTATGAGACACTGAAGAAGATGGAAAAATAAGCGTTTCTACTGGCTCTGTTAATGTGACCTTGTTCATCTGAGAAGGAACTGAATCCAAATTCTCAGAGCTTGTCAGAGTAAAAAAAAAAGTGAGTGGGACAGAGCAACTCTGGGTTTTTGGCCAGACAGACTCTCTAGAGATAACCCAAACATAGAGTGTCTTGATCAATGGAGGACGAGTCAAATTGCAAAAGGAGAGCAAAGCTTTGGAAATTACACTATAAAAAGGTATTGATAAAGTCGTTTCCACTATTTAAATTAAAGTACTTTCACCCTGAACGGAAAGCATCAGTTATATTTATGACCCATTACCGTTCATGATTAGCTTCCCATGTTTTTAAAGAGCAAACATCTCAGATAATTAAGAGTAGAAAGGTATACAGTGCTGGGAGCAGAAATAGAGTTCAGCACAAAAAGTTAAAACAAGAGCAAATCCTGTAATTACATGAGTCTAAGAAAAACCTGCAACTTGTGACAGAAACATAGGCAGCATCAAGAAACTGGTTATGATCCAGATTTCGACAGATAATATGAAAGCATAAGATAACAAAAAGGAAGATGACAAAAGAAAGAAAGCAAAGGAAACTGCAAGAAAAAAGCTGCTTTTAATTTGAGAAAACCAATGGGATTTGCTAACTTTTTTGTGCCATTATATTCTTGCGAAGCAATGATTCATTTCTTTTTTATGTGTTAAAACTCATATGGAGCCAGTTCCATCCATCCATCAACTTCTTCTTTATCCAGGATCAGATTCCTGATCTGGAAATGTTTGGAAAATTTTTTAGAAATCTCAGAGGGAAGAAACCACTGAGATTTCTGAGATTGAGGTTTATTCTCCCAGTTGATAAACCTAAATACTTCTGCGATGCTAACTACAATCACTGAAAATACAGCATCTACAGACAGTTTTTTAAATCAAATCCATAACCTTGTCTTTGTTTTAAAATATCATAGAAACCCTGTTTCTCAGCAACTCCTCTCAAACTCATGCAGCATGACATCACATCTGCTCCTTACATAAATAATGAATGGCCGCTCATGGCAGGAAAGCTAGAAAAAAAACTGTTCTTATGTCTTCCTCTGTTTTTAAAGGAGAAAATCCAGATTTAAAATTTTTTACTTAGCATTTGTACAGCAAGAAAATAAGGCAAGGCTAAAAGGGAAATGAGAATAAAGAGGAAGAATAACTAAAATGAGAAAATAAAACACTGATTTGCATTATATCTTTGTGGCATTTATTAATACACTTTACTGATGATGATCTGAGAATAAAAAACTAATTCAGCAAGCTGCAAGAAAATCTGATTATATCTGTATTAGCAAGTCAAAGGTTGACAAAAACAACTAATATGAAGCATTTTTGATGCATCTCTGCTTTCATGATATGGAATTAAATAAGAGGTTCCAGTATTGACATCACTATAGTCTTTTTACACTATTGCTAGATTGATTCATATTCGCAGACAGCACTGGTAGCTATTTTCTTTATATCAGTGGTATGTTAGCTTGTTGTCCCACCCCATAAAAAGTTTGGTGGTCCCTGACACAGACAGGCACTAATCCCCCTTCACAGTGTGCGACTCCTGCTGCAGTGCCGCACTGCACAAAGCATATCAGTGGCCTGAAACCAGCAGATTATTTCATTTTCAAAGAAATTTAACTAGGCAGCTTCTTTCACTCATCCCTTTATTTTCTATCTCTACTGTATATTTCAAAGCTGACAACACACCAACAGAGGCTTGCAACATGAAAACACACATCAAAGGATCTTTGCTCTTTCCGCTCTGCAATGAATCATTAGTCTGAAAAGCTAAAATAAGACACCAGTAAAAGGACAGAAATAGCATCATGAACAATCGATGGTCTAACCAAAGGGAGACATTACCCTGGATCATTGATTGCCAGGCCTCGCCTCAGCCTGCATCCCACCTTTACAGCTGCAGTGGCTTCCTGGTTTGATTGCAATGGAATAACTCACTGCTAAGAAGTTGCAAGTAAATTCTTACAGGCAAAATTACAGTTGCGAGAGTAATCTATTCTCAATTAGGAATGAGAGCAGTTGTGAGCTAATGAAAAACGGAGAAAGAAGAAGACAAATCCTCAGGAGGGAGATGAGAAGGAAGGCAGGTTACAGTTGGGAGGACCTGTGTCTCTGGTGTCTCTGATGTGATTACACTCAGCAGGACAATGAGTCATCTTTGGGTGAACCAAACTGCTGTGACACTGAATCGAGTGTCTGCAGCTCTGTGTGTCACATCACACCTCCATGAACAAAGCACAGACCATCTGGGTGACTGCACTGTGGAAAAATGTCTAATCTAACCATTTATAGACCCGATCCACAGGTCACTTTCTTTGACCTGTGGATCGGGTCCACAGGTCAAAGAAATAAGGCAAAAGTAACTTACAAGTAACTTTACAGGAAGATATCTGGATTTGTTTTAAGTAAAAAAGTCCTTAATATTGATTTTAAAAAAAAATACTTGTTCCATTGACAGATGATTTCACTTAGAACAAGACATTCTTCCCATGTTATAAGTTAAAAGGAAGGACCTAAACTGCAAATGTTGCTAGATATCATTTATCAGTCATATAACCATATTTCCTTGCAGCAGACTGTGAGTATGGTATAAAAAGTTACTTTAAGTAGTAAATGTTCACTTGATTAGTGTGAAAATATTTATAAAACATCCTGCAGTAGATAATATAAAGGTACTAAATAGCAAAGATGATGAAAGGATTGTCTGAATCACTCATATGAAAAATAATCAGTGTGGAGAAAAACAAAAACAAAAGACTGAAACTGCAAAAGGACAATGAGGTGAAATAATCAGGAACTGTGAAATTGGGGTTTATAAAAACTGAGTATTTTAAGTAATTTTCTAGAAACTTCTCTAGTCCACTGAAAGCAAATATGTGAAGAAGAGGGCTAAAGAGGACAAGTGGGCGGGTTCGGTATCTAACTAAATAGCGTTTTGCTTTCTTTTAGAACTAATTATGCCAAAACATTTGACATTATTGGAATTTCACACAAGAAAACATATAACTGGGTGTAAGTCAAATTTATTTTCAGTACTCATTTCCCTTTTCCTTCTAGCTTTGGTCTTCTAAATCAAGCAATAAGATGTCAGTTTTTCTTCTAATAGTTGGGTAATTGACTGTTTCTTCAACTTGAATGCCCTTTAGAGGTTTTATAGTGAAAAGCCTTTTCTTTTGCAAGAGCCACTTCGCTGGTGAGTCGAACATTTCATGTAATACTATTATTTATCCAGTGTTGAAAAAATCTAGGGCAGTGTTGAATTTTTTTCTTTTCTTTTTTGGTTCTCTCTATTTTAAGCATTTCTGTATGGACAAGAAAAAAAGGAGCTGACATCATAACAGGTTGATGAGAATCCAAGACAAATGTCGGGATCCTATTTGCTGAGGAGTTTAAATTAAATTTGAGCTTTTCAAGCCAGAGATAAACATTAAAACAGATGGTAGAGATTATGTTTTCATTTATTTCATTAAGAGTTGAACATATCTATGAAATGCATTGTTAATCTTTCTCAGAGAACTGAAATTGATCAAGTCATTATTGACTCTCTGTGAGATTTTGTTGCTCTTATTATACTACAAGGCCATAAATTTGAGGACATACGTTTTAAAATATGGATTTAGAAATGAATCTATTACTAGATCTCTAGTGGTTCTTGTGATACAGGCAAAGTGGTGCTTCATTTGCTCAAATTTATATAACAGTTTGTGAATAAGTTAGGAAGAAGCACGGCTCACATTCCTGTTTCTGGTCTGAATGTGTTGGCTCTGCTGACGGAGTTATCTGTCCTGCTTCATCGACACCGGATAAAGTGATAAATCTGAGGCTGAACACACAATGAACACCCAGAGAACCGTCCCACTGAGGGAAGAATAACTAACACGGGCCCAGAGAAAGAGGGCTGTCCTCTCAAAAGCCCAGCCTCCCAACCAATTTAACCAGAGCCTCGCTGTGTTGGCAGCAATAAATACTGCAAATGATGCTTGCAGGGAAGTGTTGAATCCCCTCAGGACAGTATATTTTTATGAAACAAGTACCCCCACTCCAATTGTACAGCCCAATGGATTGTGGCTATTGACACAAGAGTGCAGAACTTGCTGAAGAGGCTTCAAAATTTGTTGCCTTCATTTCCTGCCATGAGTCCAGAGGAATGCAAAAGCAGAGAGTTCGGAAATTGCACCGGGAGAAGAGGAATTCCATAAAACAAAAAGGCAGAAAAACAAGAAGACTTCATAAAATATTCAATTGCTCTTTTCCTTTGTTACTGTTGAAATTGCAGACATAAGAGCTTCCAAATGTACGTCAGTCAGTGTGTGCTTTCAGGAGTTTGTGACCAAAACAAATACACATTGAGAGGGATACAGGCAATTGTCTCCACTCCTTTTGTACTAGCCAATAATTTTGGTAACTGTGTCCACTTCATAGACAATAAAACAGAGGCAAACAGAGTTTTTACGCCTATAATCAACCAGTCTAAACACTCAGATGGAATATTCCGGAGGGAGTCTGGGCTAAGATGAGCATCAAAGAGGCACAAATAAATCCCACCATGATATCCAATTAATATTTCTTCAAGCATGGGTATATGGATATGTTTGGGGGGTTAAAAGGGGCGGTGGAGCTTTTTATCACCCACATTTGAAAAGGAGCTTTAACTCCTCCCCCTTCATGAATATGTATGGCTCTTCTTCTTTCTGCTCTGCCACCAACATCCCAGACAAAGCACTTCAAACACTGGGCAGAAACTGTAGGAGGAGGAGGGGGGACCCTATCAGCCTCCAGCAGATCCCCCCCCTAACACTTAATAAGTAATCCTTTGGGACCTTAGCCTTGAATAATGACCTGTTCTCTACGGTTGAGCTCAACGGTGCAGAATTTTAGTCTCTAGCAGGTACACAATCATAATAATTTACTGTTAAACAGAGAGAAAGACTTCTATTAT